AACCTTAGCATATATCCCTTTGTTTTAGAAATAAGAAAACTAAGTTCAGAGAAAATGTGAAACTTAGTCTTTCATGCATTCATTTAACAAACATTTATTAAGCCCTGAGACCATGTCAGGTACTGAAAATGTAATAATTAGTAACAGATGGTCACTGCTCTCAAGGAGTAAGGAAAGAGAAATGTTTTAAAAAGTGCTATGCTGAGCCATATACAGAGTTATCTAGAATTATGCTGTCCAATATGGTAGTCATTAGGCACATGTGGCTATTTAAATTTACTTACAATTAAATAAAATTAAAATTTCCAATAAATAAACAAATAAAATTAAAATTCAGTTCATCAGTCACATTAACCACTTTCGAAGTACACAGTGGCCACTTATGGCTAGTAGATACTGTGTGGGAGTAGAAATAAAGAGCATTACCATCATTTCAGAAAGTTCAGTTGGATAGTTCTGCTTTAGGTCTTCTCCCCAGAATAATGTTCATATGTATATGTAGTTCAAATTCACACAATTTTAAGATATTTGCACCTTGATCTGAAAGCCCTTTACAATATAAGAGAGGAATGATGGGTGTTATTAACTAAAACTAAAATCAGAGATAGGAGTTTCATTATAAGCCACAGTTCAAGCTTATGAAAAATTTCAGTTTAGAACAGGTTCTGGCTGAGTTGGCTGTAGCAGAATAATGAGTCATTTGTTCATTTCAGCAGGGATGGGCTCCATGTCCTGTGCCTGTGGTTGTCTGGGCATATGTGGCCACATGTTGATATGTGCACACTTCAAATAAGAGAGAGACCTCTAGAGATTTCAGTGAAACTTGATCACTTTTCTCACAATTTAATTGCAGTCTCTTTAACTGAGGATGTTACAAGGCTCTCACTTTCAGTAGTCTGTGTTCATGCAGTAATCACTTATTGGGTGTTTTCTAAGTCCCACATATTGGGCTGTGTGCTATAGATATGAAGATGTTTAAGATAAGACATTTATAATCTCTTGGAGGAGACAAACATGAAACCAGGTAGTCATAACCAAAGCAAAAGTAATGAAACAAGTGCTGGAAGAGGCGAGGTACTGGGAAATAAGAGGAAAGGAGAGATTAAATGGAATTTAGATCACAAGGGAAGGCTTGACAAGAGATGGCTTATTGGGTAAACTGGAACAGAGTAGCGTGGAATATGCTGTAGATGGGAATCATCTCACATTCAAGTTCTTGAAGTTCAAAATTCTTCTGGGAATCATCTCACATTCAAGTTCTTGAAGTTCAAAATTCTTCTGTGCAAGCTGTGATTTCTCCTGCTCCTCTCACACTGAACTTGCTGCCTTCCTGGAGGCTTCCAGACTCTCAGCCCCATCTTGTTCTCATGGTTCTTCATAGCCATCCTGGCAGGACTCCACAGTCAAAGATTTCAAACAATTTTTGTCAGCTCTTCCTTGTCCTCTGGCTTCTGTATTAGTCTGTCTTGTTAGTCCCCAACCTTGCCTTGCTGAGATCAAGGTCATTCATTCAATATGAGGTCTCTCAAAAATCCTGCTCTCTAACTCAAAATTTCTTCGTGTCTTTTCTCCATTCTCTCCCCCACCCCCAGCGTCCACGTGTAACTCCTTATCCCATCCTTTTCTTCCTCTTCCAGGACCTGGCTTTATGCCTTATCTCCACAGTTGTATCTTCAGTTTTCATTGCTTATGGCGCCCTCCCTAGGGACAGGTACTGGTTTTGTAAGGCTTGGTTTATTCAATCCTGGGAGCCCTCTTAAGAAAATGAATACAAAATTACAAATACAAACTTAAGAACAAAAGTTGACATTTATTTAGAAGGCCTATGAGAGTGTAAGGAGGCCCTGAAGCTTAGCTTCACAGTAAATCCATCTGTCTGTACTATATTAAAAACAAAACCAAACCCTAAAGGTTCCTTTTGTTTTGCTGCTGCAAATGACTGTTCATCTCTCTGAAACTTTTCAAGGAAGTAGTCTACGTACAATACCTTCACTTCCACCCCCATCCACCATTCTATTGCAATGGCTTTCTCTAAAATAGCATTGACCTCATAACCTCTAAATCCCATGGCTTTTTCTTAGTCCTGATCTTTCTTGTCCTTTTCACAAATAATTTGACACACAGGTTACCTTCTGACCTCTCCAATGAATCCTTTCCATTAAACCACCAATGGTGGACCTTCCTCAGGGTCTCTTAAATGGTCCACATTGTTTTCCCTCCCCTATGACTCAGTCACACCCTTGCCAATCATTCACACCACACCCATGTGGCTGATCTACAGTTATAGGTCCCTTGCTCTGACTTCCCTCATAAACTCCAAGCCTGATACAAATTCTTTACCTGAGGCCCCATCAGTATGTCAAATTCATCTTTCTCTGGCTGTGTGAATAGTATCACTCCCTCCCAGGCACCTGCTCCAGAAATTTCAAAGTGTTACTTTAAAAACAACAACACTTCTCTCCCTTTTTCCCTGTATGGACTCTAAGATCTACCAGTTCTACCTCAGAGTGTTGCTATAATCTGTGTAGTCCTTTCTCTTCTCACTGCTACTTCTCCTACTTCAGTGTTTTTCACTATTGACTTGGACCAATCCAAGACTCTATTGTTTGGAGGTGGCGAACTTCAGAACTGGGTGTGACTTGCTCCATTGAATTAATGGAAGGTCAGATACAGAATCTGGGTTTCCTGCCTCTTCTTGGTAGCTACTTCACAGTTTAAACCCACTGTAATCTATTTTGTACATGAATGCCATATTAATCTTAAAAGTGATGACTCTTAACCAGTGAAACTGTAGTCTCTGGCATGGTAGTTCAAGGGCTCCAAAATCAGGTGTTAAATAACATCTCAGCTTTATCTTCTTCTTGACCCCTAGCTGTACTATATAATCACCTGTGCTTTTGGATGTTCTCCAAACATGGCCAGACTTTAATGCAAGTTATTTCTGGAGTTAATTTCTTCCCTGCTATGTAGTAGTTCGGTCGTTGAACCTCTCACCACATGTGGTCTGACATTGCCTTTGTCTGTAGTAAAGATTGTAGTTGAGTCCACAACATCCATTCCTTCCCAGGTGATTGGAAGACCAGTGAATGACCCCATCCATCTCCTTGTGATTGGTTTAGGGATGGGTATGTGACACATTTCTGCTAATGACAGAGCAGGGAAGTCAGTTAGGTGGATTCTTGGAAAGGTCTCATGTCTTGGAAGGCAATACAGAAGGAAAAAAGTCATTCTTGACATTTGTCATAGCTGGATGCTACAGCCACCTTGCTGTCAGCCTGATGAAGAAAATGGAAAGAATCTGGGCTCTTGATGATATTATTGACATTCTAAACCAATCCTAGAGCCTGCCCTGACTTTGGACTTTGATTATGTGAAGTAATACATTTCCTTACTGTCCAAGCCACTTTTAAGTCACAGTTTTCTGTTATTTGTAGCCTAAAGCCTCAGGAATCTGCTATTTTGTAAGCTAGACTTTCAGATTCTTGAATTCAGATTTTTCTTATCTTTCTATTCAGTATCTATTTATCTCTCTAGCCTTCTTAGGGCTTGGCACACAACAATCAAAAAATGGTTGTGCAATTAAGATTTATGCATATATTTCTGAGATATAACTAGTAAATACATTCATAATTTATAAAGCTCTTTATTGTTTCATAGCAATTTAGAGATAAGATAAAGCTTACATGTTCAGGGCATTTTATTTCTTAAAGTCACACCAAGTTCTGAACAGGCTGCTCCCCTTTGTCCCAAACCCTTGTCGGTGAGTACCTTGCTTGTTAGGGTCTCAAAGTATTGGGGACTGAAGCAGAAAGAAAGCAGCAAGCCACCCGTTTGCTTAGCCCGTCAATAATGCCACTACAGCACCCTAGTTGTTGCTGGTTTAGAGCTCAGGACTGGAACCCCTTCTCCTCCCAGTCCTGGTTCAGAGTAGTGCCTCTAATGTTCGGGCCGTGAATCCCCTTAAATACAATACTCTGTAGGGAGAGGTATTTTCTTGGGAAGATGAATCACGGCTTTTATTAGATTCTCAAAGGTGTCTGTGAGCCCCTGAAAGGCTAAGAAGCACTATAATGTAATACAGTACCTCAGAAATAAATGAAAATAAAAATTTTAGAAATGTTCCTCCTTCACTGGACTTAATAGTTCTCTACGTTGTTTTGTATTTTGTCATCTAAGGGACCAGTAACACGGGACCACTTGTAGATAATGAAGCAGGAAACATTTAGGCACTAGGGAGGACTAGGCACCTCCAGTCAAGACCAGTGTAAAAGGAAAATGCACAGCCCCTTGTCGAAAAATCATTAAGAATTTCAAAATGGCTACATTTTAAATTAAACATTAAACCAAGCACAAGGCTCTTCTAAGTGAGGAGCCCTGTGCAAGAACACAGGTTGCACGCCCATGAGACTGGTCCTGCCTCTGGTACATATTACTAAACACACTGTAAATTGCTTGCTAGTTATGTTGTATTCCTTTGGCCTGCCATGCAGTTCTTCATTCATTTTTGGAGGGCCTAGAATGTTCCAGGGATTGTGTCATAGGAGCATTCATTCAGTAACTTGGGTGTCTACAGTGTAAAGAGCCTTGTTCTAGGTCCTGGGCATAGGGATTTGAACAAGACATTTGTGTTGGGTAGAGACAATCAACAAATGAACAGGAAAAAAATATCAGATAGTGATCGATGCTGAGCAAAAAATAACATAGGATAATGTGATTCAGGGGGACTGGGGGCCTATTTTGCGCTGCGTGGTTCGGGAGGCATTCTCTGAGACGACATTTGAGCTAAGACTTGACCGAAAATAGACCCGTCCTGCCTCCAGGGTGGGTGGAGAGGGTCGTCTTCTGCTTGGGAAACAGAGCGTAAGGTCAAGCTGGGGCGGGGGCGGGGGGCTTGGGGGGGAGGGAGGGAAGGAAAGAACGAATATGGGTGCTGGAGTGAGCAGAGGTAGTGGGTCAAGGGAAGCATCAAGGTATGGCAGGTGGAAGAGGCCGACCGCAAGATGAAGCCATCCCCGGGCAGGTCCGAGCGTCAGCGAGGCGCAGAGCCTGGCGAGAGGGTCCTGGCAGGGGCCCAGGCCGAGGACGCGGTGGCCGGGCCCAGGCGAGGGCGCGGCTCGCTCGGAGCCTTGCAGCGAAGCCGCCCCAGGGGCCGACGTGGCCGGCGCTGTGCGGCCAAGGGCCGGGCCCCAGGCGGGGGGCCTCCCGGGGATCCCGGG